AACAACTATAAACTCTGAACAAAACACAAAAATCAATTACGTGAAGGCTCTACAGATTTAATAGAAGCAAACAGATTTTGCTGGGTAGTCAAACTTAGGTAAGAAGGAATTGCCACAGGGTGAGTTTCCCATTTTTACTGATTTAACCTGAGGTCAACACAGTACAGTGTGGCTAAAATTCTGAGAGAAAGCAAGCCAGCCTCCTGAAGAACCTGAAGACACACACTAACCAATGAAAAGTCCAGAAAGAAATCTGCCTAATTTATGTGTGACTTTATTTATTAAAAAAGTGATGATGCAATATAGCAAGGAAAGAATCATTTTTTCAATAAATGGTGCTAGGTCAATAGGATACCAACATAGGAAAAACAAATGCATCTTTACCACTGCCTCACACCAAACACAAAAAAGTCAATTCCAACAAAGTACAGACATAAATATTTAAAAGTAAAACATTAGGGGTTTTAGGAAAAAAAACATGGAGATCATCTTCGAAAGTATGGAGTAGGCAAACATAGCCATAAAGCACTAGCCACAAAGAAAAAATTGTTAAGTCAGAATATATTTTGACTGAAATCAAAAGACAAGAAAATGAAAAGGCAAGCTACAGACTGATAGAAGATATTTGTAATTAGTTTATTTGAAAACAAACGCTTATCCAAAATATAAAAGAACTCCTACAAATCTACGGGAGAGAGGCAGACAATCCAAATCTGTAAAATTAAAAAATATAGATAGACCCTTTCACAACAGAGGTTACCCAAACAGCCAATAAGCATATAAACGGGTGCTCAATTTCATCAGTCCAAATCCAAATGACAATGCCATACCACAACCCTCTTAGAATAGCTGAAATGAAAAGAAAGAAAAATATTGTGTTGATGGGATGAGAAGTAACAACAATTCCCAAATACTCCTGGTAAGAGTATAAACTGGTACAATTGCATTGAAGAAATGGCCACAAAAGGGAAACTATCCAAACCCCTTTTAACAGTAGAACAGATAATGAATTATAGTACATTTATATAATACTATACAGCAATAAGAATAGATCAGCCACAACGATACACATTAACAAGGATCATTTCACAAAAATAATGTTAAGCAAAAGAAGTCAAACATGGAATCTAATAGTAGATCCAATGGAATCTAATAGTTGATCTCATAGAAGTAGAGAGTATAACAAAAGTAGAAAAGTAGAAAAACAGGTAAAAGAAATCTGTGGTGCTACAACTCAGGACTATAGTTTCTCTTTGTGAGTAGAAAGACAGGAAGGAGGCAAAAAAGGAATTACCGGAGGTTGAGGAACTCCCTCTGTGTAGACATGACCTTAATATTCATTCCTTCAATCATGCTGCCAGAATACCAGCAGGCCCAGTAGTGAACCTTCACAGTATCTCTGCTATATACTTTACCTGCACAGACACAACAGTGATATGGACTCCAGGGCTAGGGAAGCCACTGAAAAAACAACTGAAGAAGTGTCCACTTGTATCAGAAGGTGCTAGTTGCCTACCATGTTCATTATATGTTTTCTGGTATATCTCAAATTGGTTTCCTGCAGGATTTACAACAGTCAATCAAGGAAGTTATGGGAAACATTGTGGACATGGAGAAAAGAAAAAAAAAAAAAAAGTCAGGAGGGAACAGTTGTTTAAGATAGGGATCTTGGAGAAATTCAACAGCTAATAGACACCATACCAGAGGAATTAACAGAAGATGACTTGATGGAGATGAATGCTTCCAAACCAGTGCCAGATGATAAGAAAGAAGAAGAAGCAGTGCCAGAAAACAAACTGACATTAGGCAATCTGGCAGAAGTCTTCCAGTTATTCAAGACTGCTTTGACTTCTTCTGACATGGACCCCTCCTATAACACAGATACTGTAACTAAAGCAAACCGTGGAAGAAGAATTGGTACTGTACAAAAACATTTTTTGAGAGTTGAAAAAGCAAAAGACAAATTAGTATGTATTCCCATAAAGCTACATTGAGTGGGTCTACCTGTCCTGCCTCCCCTACCACCTTCTCCATCTCTGGCACCCTTGAGACTACAGTACCAACCCCTCCTCTTCCTTCTTCTCCTCAGCCTACTCAACACGAAGAAAATAAGAATGAAGACCTGTATAATGATCCACTTCCACTTAATGTATGGCAAATATATTTTCTTCTGATGATTTGCTTAACATTTTCTTTTCTCCAGCTTACTTTATGGTAAGAATGCAGTACATAATATATATAACACACAAATTATGTGTTAAACCACAGATGTTATTGGTACAGCTTCCAGTAGTCAAAAATAGACCATTAGCAGTTAAGTTTGGGAGGAGTCAAAAGTTACATGTGCGTTTTCAACTACACAGGTGTGGGGGTCAGCACCCCCACCCCGATCCCCACATTGTTCAAGGATCAACTGTACTTTATTAACCAGTTTACCCATCTATCTTCCCCAACTGTGAACTCAAAGAGTACAGAGACAGTATTTTTTTTCCTCCTGTAACCTGAGCTCTGTTGCACTTCGTAGAATTTAGTATGTCCTTCATAAAGAATTAATTAATTAATAACACACCTAAACATATAACTTTTTTTTTTTTTGAGACAGAGTCTCGCTGTGTCGCCCAGGCTGGAGTACAGTGGTGCGATCTCAGCTCACTGCAAGCTCCACCTCCTGGGTTCATGCCATTCTCCTGCCTCAGTCTCCCAAGCAGCTGGGACAAAAGGCACCCGCCCCCACACCTGGCTAATTTTTTTTTGTATTTTTTAGTAGAGACGAGGTTTCACCACGTTAGCCAGGATGGTCTCGATCTTTCGTTTTCCAAAGATGATGATAGTGGTGCTTTGCCTCATTACTAGAACTGAAGAATTATTTTCCAACTTCAACTTGGATTATAATTCCGGAAAGATGATCTATATACACACCAAAGTATTCATGAAAATAGGATATATATCTGGTATATAAGCATAGGATAAATATGCTTTTTTTTTGTATTTAAGTAAATACAGTAGGAAACAAGGGAATATGTAGTATAGAAGCCTATAAAAACGAATTAAATCATTATGTTAAGTGAAATAAGCCAGACACAGAAAGACAAATATCACATGATCTTACTCATAGGTGGAATCTAACAGTTAATCTCACAGAGAGTATAATGGTGTTTACCAGAGGCCAGGATGGTTGGCAGGAGGATGGAGAGAATTTGGTCAAGGATACATAATTTCAGTTAGATAGGAGGAATAAATTTCAAGAAATCTATTATATAACATGAATTTATAGCAAGCTGGCTATAATGATGATATATTGTATTCTTTAAAAAAATGTAAAGAGCGTAAATGTTATGTACTCTTACCACAAAAATGATAACTATGTGAGGTAATGCATTGCTAATTAGATAGATTTAACCATTCCAGAATGTACATATACTTCATAGCATCATGAGGTACACAAAACAATGCCATCTGTCAAAAAATAATTGTTATATGTAGTATTTCAAAAAGTTCACAGCATCAAAAATATTTGTAGGGGTGGGGGAACGGAGAGCATCAGGAAGAATAGCTAGTGGATGCTGGGCTTAATACCTAGGTGGTGGGTTGATCTGTGCAGCAAACCACCACAGCACACATTTACCTGCACATCCTGCACATGAAGCGCAGAACCTAAAGTAAAAGTTGAAGAAAAAAAATATTCAAGAAGTTTCTATCTGATATTGGACTGCTTTGTCACTTTTTGTTTTGGTCTTCCTAGTGCTTATTTACTACAGGATAAAATTAGCACATACTATTTAATGTGTTCATTTTAAGTACTATGTTGTTTTCTATGTGTTAATTTCATCTTCTCCAGATGAGACCATTTTTATTATCATAGGTCTAAAAATGACAAGATTAAGTCCAAACCGACAGTAATCACTCAACAGCTATTTATTGAGTAACAAAGATTCAATATGAAAGCAACCTTGATCAAAGCTTTCCAGTTGATATATTGTGAAACAGGGTTTTATCCCAAACATGGTTCTAAAAAACAAGCAAACAAAAATCTTCCCCAAATGAAAAACTCCAGTCACTATTTAACAATACTAATTTCAATTTATCAAATAAAATCAGCCCAAAACTTTCAACAGGTCAGTGAAATTTAAAACAATTCGATGGCAAGAATTTCAACGAGGTTTGGCTCTAATTAAAAGGTATCACAGATCACTGTCAAAAGTCAATAACTCAGTAGTGTGGTAATGATCTGGGAGTTCTTTTTAATTTAGACATTTGTCAATCATGATTGCCTTTAAACATTACTTAGCCACTGTACCTGCTCAGTTTTGAGAAAAAATTTAAACACAAAAATACAACTCAAAATACATGTTTTTTCCACCCATAAAATTCGTATTTTAGTAATAAACTCTCGATTCAGGGTTCACAAAATAAAGTAGGTTTACTTCTAATTCTTCCTAGCAGCTTTTTTGGGGAAAGAAATCCTAAGTATTTTCTGTTATTTGCAGCTCCTTTAACAGCAAACGACAATTAAATGTGTGAACAAGGTTGTCAGAGTAACACATGTCATTTACACCACTTAGGACAGACATTCAAGACTTCCAGAAACACTAATTAAAATTAACAAAAGCTTCTTATCGGAACTTGTCAGAGAGGTATATTTTGTCAGACACAGGAAAACCACAAAGTTCAAGAGTTTTCGCTCTAAGATTTAAATCCAAACCACCTACCAGTAGGCACTAGCGAACTAAGCCCGGACGCTCAGCAACCAACTCATCCTTTCCGTATAACACAAAATTAAGAAAAAGACATCGTGGAGAACACGGAGTGAATTTTCTGTCAGAAATCAGAAGATAAATGAGCAGGAAAAAAAGTCTCTCCTCACACACAGCGGAGAAAGGTGCAAGATACTATCAATTGCTTGATAAGCCCTAAGGGTTTATCGGTTCACCAACCTTTTCTTTAACTCAGTGTGAATGAAGGCACTCAAAAGGAGAAGAACGTTACGTGATATTACCTACCTCGGGCCCCAAAGAACCCTGAAGACCTTCAAACAGGACACAGGTGGGCCTTTCTCACCTGGGCCCCGCCGAAGTCGACCGTCCTTACGCAGAGCGCACTTTTCAGCAATACGCCTTCCCATTGGTTGGCTCGGGAGGGACGTCTCAGTCCTATTGGTTACGAGAGCCGCGGTTGGGGCGAGGAGGCGGGAGTTTGGGACTGGTTCTGACAGGCCGGGGGTTTGCGTTCCCAGAGTTCCTATTGGGTTAACACTGCAGGCTCTAAGATGGCGGCAGTGGTAACCTGCGGCAGTGGCGCGGGGAGTACTGGGTCTGCAGTGGCGACAGCCAGCAAGAGCAATGTCACCAGTTTCCAGAGGAGGGGTCCTAGAGCCAGCGGGACCAACGACAGCGGCCCTCGACTGGTGTCCATTGCGGGCACGCGACCGTCGGTGCGGAATGGACAGCTGCTGGTATCAACCGGGCTCCCAGCCCTGGACCAGCTCTTAGGTCGGTTCAGAGCGGAGATGTGGGCTCAACCGAGGGGAAACTTAGGGAGGGGACCTGTCGGGGAAGCCACTTTGACCCCACATCTCTCTCTGACCTCTAAACCTTCAGAGGAGGAGAGAATAGCCTAGTCTGATTGAGATGGAGGGGAATACGGGTTGTGTGGAGACTTCTGAGCGCTGTTAACTAAACATGTTTTAGTGCTCCCGCTCCCTATTTCGTTCCCTGCCCTCCAACCCCTTTTCAGATTACGGCGGAATTCGTACATGGTTTTTACCCTGAAATGCTTTCTCGTCAAGGGAAGACATTAATTTATGGAGATGGGCTTTCATTCAGGATACCTCCCTTCTGCTGTCTCCAGGCAGCTCACGGTTTAGACCAACTACAAAAGTTTTTATAATTGTGGGAGACAGGCTTCATTAGAAGATGGTGGAAAAAGATTATTTCCCCTCTTTGACCGTTAGACTGCCTATTCTCTGGTTATAAATCTTAAAACATTTTGGCTTTAAGAGAGCGTATATGTTAAAGGCGTATGTTGACACATAATCCTTATAAAGTATTTAGAGCTTGTCGTTGATACTTAGTCATACTCGTGTCTGCGTTAAATCTGTGTATGTATTTTTTGTTTATTTTTTCTATATACATTTTGCTTCCCAGTACTGATTACTAGTACATTCCATTCGACATCTCTAAATTTAACTTACATTTTAACGAGGAAAGGAAGTCTAGTTCTTAGGCTTTCCTTTAAAATCTCTGGAATTTTTTATGAGAAGCCTGCTGAAGAATATGCTGGTTTCATAACTGTTATATTGAAAGGATTGACCAGATTAGGTTGGTAGGACAGATTTGCTGTGTTAATAAAGCTTCTAGATTAATTTCTATCTGAATGCTGTTTCATTAAAACCCGTCTGTGTTTACATTTCATAACTTTTTTCATAGTGTGTGATATGTGTCTGTTAAATCTTGTACACTTTCATAAAATATAGCTGTCATTGCTTGTTCTTGTACTTCGCTTGACATTTCTTTCGGTTATTTTCCCCTCAAAATAGGCTTTTCATAGGTTTAGTGCAGAGAAAATAAGAAGACAAGCGATCTATGAAAAAGAGTATGGCTTCTTGCTTCTGTCATTTCATTTCCCAGTTATTTTTACATAGGTTTAAGTATTTTTCACTTAATTGTTTCAAGTATATTTTCCTCCTGAGTTGCATGGTACTGTAAACAGAAGTGATTCAAAATATCTAGTTAGCAAATATTTAGTTCTCCGTTTTTCCCTTGTGAGCCTCAGTTGATATCCTCTTACATTTGAACTTTAAGTTTGGAAGCTATTTGTAGGCCTTACATATTTTTTAATTCAATGAGATATGTAACTTCATTTACTTGGTACTAAAACTTTCCAAACGAAAAGGTTACGTTTCTATTATAATGTCTTAAGTTCCTCATTAGAATAACAAAATGTTCCTAGCATACTTCCTGACACTTAGTAGGTTCTCAATAAGTTGTTGATTACAAGAAAAATAATGTGTAGAAAAAAACTGAGACAAGAAATTATGAAACATGTAGGATGGAGTTTCATGTTTGAGCTCTAAAACAAATTAAGTGATATGAACAGTCTCACAAAACCAGTAACCATGTGGACTGATCTTTAGGCTTCAAATTTAGTGCTCTGTGCACTAGGCTACAGTGGTCTGAAATTTTTAGGAATTCTTTCCAGGGGTTTTGACCATTTATTGAACCTCGGATTAATGATTTAACTATCATCTCTTAAAGTACCCACAAAAAAGAGAACCCAAAGCACCTTCTATATGTGTTTCTTCAGAGATACAAACTTGAACAGTAACTTTTAAATTTTCCATATTTGCTTGGAATGGGATACTCTAGTAGGGTATTTAAGTATAACAAGCTTATACTAAAATTACTGTTCCTTAAGATGATGGAAACAGTATTGGTTGTTGAATACTTTGAAATATATTTTGCATGTATGCAGTTAATTCTCAAAGTGCACAAAAGTTGAAGAGGTTATAATGTAATTGACTACATCTTGAAAAATAAATATGTCCAGAAGTATTTTAGTTTTAACCTCTTAATGACATTTTCGTATTCTGATTTTCTGTATAAGCAATTTAGACTGTTACTACTCGAAAATGTTATTTGACTCAAGTTGTGACAAGCCTAATATGACCATATTGTGACAAAAGGTAATGATAATAGGATGTTATGGTGTTAGAATGGTAAGACTATGCTGTAATATTGTGAGTATTGCCTAAATATATTATGTGGTTACTGTGTAACAAGTAAATATTATAGCTTCCATGTAGTACGGTGACATTTTACTACTGCCACCATGATGTCATTGTCATTTTAAACATAGATGCAAAATATATTTGAAAGGCATCATACATGCTAATTGTTAGTCATTTGATGATACACTTATACTTCCATTACTTATTCCAGTGTTTTACAAATTTGAAAATTTTCAATATCTGCATTTTTCAAATGACCTAATATATAATGTTTTTGTTCTGACAATCTAATTTTATTATGAGATATTGATATACATTTCCCAAGTTAGCTACATTAAAATTTTTTTAATTCTCAGATTATCTAACCCATTTTCTCAGCCTTGCCCTTCTAGGATATTTATATTGTTATTCGAGGACACTATATGAAAATAACACTTATAGGCCGGGCGCGGTGGCTCAAGCCTGTAATCCCAGCACTTTGGGAGGCCGAGACGGGCGGATCACGAGGTCAGGAGATCAAGACCATCCTGGCTAACACGGTGAAACCTCGTCTCTACTAAAAAAATACAAAAAAACTAGCCGGGCGAGGTGGCGGGCGTCTGTAGTCCCAGCTACTCGGGAGGCTGAGGCAGGAGAATGGCGTAAACCCGGGAGGCGGAGCTTGCAGTGAGCCGAGATCCGGTCGCTGCGCTCCAGCCTGGGCGACAGAGCAAGACTCCGTCCCAAAAAAAAAAAAAAAAAAGAAAATAACACTTATATTTTAGAAAAGGAAAGATAGGTATTCCATCAATTGGAGAGGTACTCCATTTCACTTCCAGGGGTTTCCAAAGAAAGATTGTAACAGCTAAAGGATTCTGACAGAATTTCCCCCTGCCTCCCAACCCCATTCCCCATAAAAGGTATACTCCATTTTAGGACCATGTATCTAACCTGGGAGAATTATCCACAACTTCATCCTCCAGAAAAATGCTTAAAGTAAGGGTAACTGCAGATTTGACCTCTGTGCTGTTAAATTTTGATAGGGGAATGTCGGATAGGGATTTGAGGTAAACAATACTCTAGGAAGAGTACTCTGAAAGAAGCTTAATGGTAGCAGCCATTTTTTAACATTGATGTCAAAAAGTAAACACTAGTGGGCTTATTTCCTTTATTATGTTAATGTGTATCATGGGATAATATACATTGAGCTTGGACTACGTATTTAACACAATCTTGGTTATGGTATTTTACCAACCAATATAATTAGCATACATTTAAGAATAATGTATTTTTTATTGCTATGTAAAATTCTTTCATGTGACTTAATCTATAGAACTATTCATGGTTCCTAGCTTTATTTTGATTCTCATGTTTGCCCAGCCAATAATTGTGTCGTAATGAAAAGTAGTCACTATGTTTCATAACGCTTGGGGAAGAAAAAATAGACTTGTTATCAAAATAAATGTGATTTAATTTGAGGTCCAGCATTAATTAAGTAGTTAAGGCTATTACTATGAACCAAGGAAACAATATGCACTTTTTTTTTACGTTGCATTTTCCCAAAAATACTTTTTTATAATTTTAAGCAAAATTATTCCTTTATATAGAGCTCTGGAAAGGAGTGGCATAAATCACTGTTATTTTTCCTGACTTTCATTTCTTTTCCCTTTTACTTTCTTTAACATTGAAGAAAGGCTTTCATATTCTACTGTATTAATTTGACCTCATTTACCCAAAATTTATAGCTTAATCAGAGGTTTCTACTGGGGAGACTGTGGGGATTGAATGTTGTTCCTTTAAAATATTAATAGTACCAATATAATTGTCTTACTATTGCATGAATTGAAACAACAACAAAAGCCCTTTCATTGTCTTATGATTTTAAAAATCGTAAGATGGGAAGATCCTGGCATTTACAAGATCTTAAATTAATTCTAATATTATTTCTTAAGTATTAAATATCTTTTCTGGTTTTAAGAAAAAATCCCTATTTTTAAAAGATGTAAAATCTTGATGAAATTAATTCTTTAAAATATCAAGCTTGCTGAGTATCTTTAACCTTTCAAACCTTTATTTTGATTCTCATGTTTGCCCAGCCAATAATTGTGTCATAATTATTGAAGAGTAGTCACGATTCTTTAACCTTTCAACATCTTATAGTCTTTTGTGTACATGAGGTACTCTACTTTCATTTTTAGTAAGCTGTAAGTAAGTATACATCTTAAAGACATCTAGAAGTAAAACCAAGAGTTTATTTGCTGGCCGCGTGTGGTAGCTCACACCTATAATCCCAGCACTTTGGGAAGCCAAGATGGATGGATCGCTTGAACCTGGGAGTTTGAGACAAACCTGGGCAACACAGAGAGATCCTGGCTCTTCAGAAAATTCAAAAATTACCCAAGCTTGATGGAGCACACCTGTAGTCCCAGCTACTCAGAAGGCTGATGGGGAAGAATCCCTGAGCCTGGGGAGTACAAGGCTGCAGTGAGCAGTGATCACACCACTGTACTCCAGCCTGGGTGGCAGTGAGACCCCGTCTCAAAAAAAGAAGATTTTTTTTTGCTTAGTGGCTTAGAAAGTGTGTTGGTAATTTTTCTAAGTTAGGATGAAAAGGGAGAGGAAGTAGTAAACAAGGCCATTTTAGTAGTTTTTTGTTTGTTTTCATTACAAAAATAAGATGATTGCTTCCTTACCCTATTATCTGTAATACGTTGTAGTGGACTATTGGGAAAAGATATTTCAATTTTAATTGGGAACTATTAGTGTAAAGTCTATGTTGCTTTTGGAATTAGATAAAATTACTAATGGATTACTAAATTTAAAAGTAAGTTAAAAGCCAGCTTTCAAAGAATATGTCAGAATACTCTGTTGTGGTTGGTTGGTTATTTTAGCTTTTTATTTATTTATTGTTTCGTGGGAGCACGGCTACAAACATTCACACTTTTAAGTTAAAATACAGCTAGACCTTCCATTTATCAAGTAAGAGACATCAAAATACCTTATACAAAGGTATCTTGTGGAAATGTTTTGAGATCATGTCTCACTAAACTCAAGTTTAGAATAATCGAGAAATTTTGCTGCTGTATGCATGTATATATATACGTATAGGTCAAAATTATTTCTCTTAAAGCACATAGAATAAAAGTTTGATTTTTAAAAGCTTTAAATTTGTTAATAAGTTTAAGTTAGTTAATGTTACATCTTACTTCCCACAACTATCCTTCACAATGACCAAACTTTACCAGAGCAAATCTAAATGTGAATCTAGCGAATTTACATGATAGAGCCTTCTTACCTTTTTGTAAAAGAAGTTTGAGAAGATATTTGGTTGATAAAAATGTTTTTAATCTGTCCCCATTATGTCTTAATGTTCAGATTTTCTAAACATTAGAATTTTAATACACATAAGATTTTTTAGGCTATGTGGTCGCTCAAGCCTGTAATCTCAACACTTTGTGAGGCCAAGGCTGGAGACTAGTTTGTGCCCAGGATTTCAAAACCAGCCTGAGCAATATAATGAAACCCTGTCTCTACAAAGAATGAAAGAATTAAAAAAGAAAAAGAATTAGCTAGTCATGGTTACATGTTCCTATAATCCCAGCTATTTCAGAGGCCGAGATGGGAGGACTGCTTGAGCCTGGGAGGTTGAAGCTGCAGTGAACCATGATCGCACCACTGCACTCCAGTCTGAGCAACACAACGACACCCTGTCCCCCCACCCCCCACAAAAAAAGAGGAATTGCCAAAATGGTAAAGGTAGCCCTTCCTGAGTACCTTTCTGGGCCAGACACCTCTATTTGGTAATCACTTCGTTTAATTGGAAAACTTTTACATGATCTGTTCTCATTGTCCCATAGTGAGTGTTAAAAAAATCTTTCCTTCTCTGTCTGTCCCAGTGGAGGCCTTATATAAATTCCTTATTTGGGGAGACGTAAATGTAACTCAGGAGGTTAGATAAGAAAACTAAATCCTCCCTATGGGAAAGAGGTTAAAGTAAGAAACTTTTTAATAGTGCCTACTCTAGCTTAGACACCATAATGTCTCTTGTATGCTTACATCAATTCATCTCCTTATATGTACACAAAAAGGCTATTGTGTATTTAAATGTTTATTTTTGCATTTAAGGGAAAGTAGGAAAGTAAGGAAGTGTGATCTAAGATGTTCAAATGGATAAAAACATTAGTGTGGCACTATAAAATTAAACATTTAGTCTAATCTTATACCAAAGCAAACCCTTTGTTCTGATCCATTTGTTTGTTTGAGACTGGGCCTCACCTTGTTTCCCTGGGCTGGAGTGCAGTGGCGCGAACACTGCTCACTGCAGCCATGACTTCCCATGCTTAATTGATCCTCCTGCCACAGCCCCCCAAGTAGCTGGGACTACAGGTGCCAGCACGCCTTGCAAATTTTTGTATTTTTTGTAGAGATGGAGTTTTGCCGTGTTGTCCAGGCTTGTCTCAAACTCTTGAGCTAAAGTGATCTGCTCACCTTGTCCTCCCAAAGTGCTGGGATTATAGCCATGAGCCACCGCACCCGGACCTGATCCTTTTTGATGGCTATCATGATATATATATCAGCTTATGTTTATCTTTTCGTCTGAAAATTAAAGTTATCCTATGTAGTCTGATATGACTTTAAATGCTATAATGAAGGAACCTGTCTAAATGTAAACTTAAGAAGTCTTGTAAATATATAAACTTAAACATTGAAACATTTAAATATACTAGGTATTTTCATTATTTCCTTCCTTAAGAGTTTGAAATGTTCTACATATTGTCATAGAATTGATGTTTATCCTCACTGTAAATCGCTTAGCATAAGTCTTATGTTGCATATTATTCTAGTTGCACGTGTGTTACCAGATTTCAAACTGCTTAAAACATAATAGTTATGCTTTTTTTGCAAGGCAAAAAATAAACACTATCAAAGGAACTTTTTTTTTGTTTTGAGACAGAGTCTTGCTCTGTGGCCCAGGCTGGAGTGCAGTGGCATGATTTCAGCTCACTGCAACCTATGCCTCCCGGGTTCAAGCGATTCTCCTGCCTCAGCCCTCCTGAGTAGCTGGGATTATAGGAGCGGGCCACCACATCTGGCTAATGGGGTTTTGCCATGTTGGCCAGGATGGTCTCGAACTCCTGAGCTTATGTGAACTGCCTGCCTTGGCCTCCCAAAGGGCTAGGATTTCAGGTGTGAGCCACCGTACCCAGCCTATCAAAGGAACTTTTGTTACTAAGTTTTTCTACATGACAAATGTGACTACAAAACTTTTTTGTGGAAAGTTCTTTATTGGTGTTCTAAATGTTTCTTTCAGATTTGTATACAAAAACCAAACAATTAACATTGACTCCAGTTGTCCAACAACTTAGAGTATTTTTTATTTTCTGGAGTCTTACTCTGTCGCCCAGGCTGGAGTGCAGTAGTGCGATCTCAGCTCACTGCAGCCTCCCTCTCCTGGGTTCAAGCAATTCTCCCGCCTCAGCCTCCCAAGTAGCTGGGACTACAGGCGCCCACCACCATGCCTGGCTAATTTTTTTTTGTATTAAAATTTTAGTAGAGACTGGATTTCACTATATTGGCCGGGCTGGTCTCGAACTCCTGACCTCATGATCCACCCGTCTTGGCCTCCCAAAGTGCTGAGATTACAGGCGTGAGCCACCGCACCTGGCCTAACTTTGAGTATTTTTTAAATTATACTTTAAATACGTTTCTATTCTTTGATATTCAGTTTTTAAATTTTTAAGTGAATTTGTGTTTGAGATATTAATTAAAATGGTACTAGTTTTACAAATGGAGTGAACAGCAAAGTATTAGTACTCAAATGTCTTAGTGTTAAGTTCTAAGTTCTTTTATTTTTTTTTTTTTTTTTTTTTTTTTTTGAGTCAGAGTTCTGGCTCTGTTGCCCAGACTGGAGTGCATGTGGTGCAATCTTGGCCTCACTGCACCTCGCACCTCCTGTTTCAGCGATTTTCTCCTGCCTCAGCCTCCTATGTAGCTGGGATTACAGGCATGCACCACTATGCCCATCTACTTTTGTATTTTTAGTAGAGTTGGGGTTTCTCCATGTTGGTCAGGCTGGTCTCAAACTCCCGACTTCAGGTGATCCGCCTGCTTCGACCTCCCAAAGTACTGGGATTACAGGTGTGTGCCACTGCACCTAGCCTTAAAATTAATTTTTAAATTGATTTTTAATGATTCACCATTTGAATTATATATTTCATGACTATATTACCATAAATCAGATTTTTTCTTTTTTTTTCTGAGACAGAGTCTCACTCTGTTGCCCAGGCTGGAGTGTAGTGGTGCAATCTCAACTGACAGCAACCTCGCCTCCCAGGTTTAAAAAATTCTCGTGTCTCAGGTTGGGCACAGTGACTCACGCCTATAATCCCACCACTTTGGGAAGTCCAGGCAGGCGAATCACGAGGTTAGGAGTTCAAGACCAGCCTGGCCAAGATAGTGAAACCCCGTCTCTACTAAAAATACCAAAAGCTAGTTGGGTGTAGTGGCAGGCACCTGTAATCCCAGCTACTCTGGAGGCTGAGGCAGAAGAATCACTTGAACCCAGGAGGCAGAGTTTGCAGTGAGCCGAGATCGTGCCAGTGCTCTCTAGCCTGGGCGACAGAGTGAGACTCTGTCTCAAAAATAAATAAATAAATAAAAAATTCCCGTTTCTCAGCCTTCTAAGTAGCTGGGATTACAGGCATGTGCCACCACATGCAGCAGATTTTTTTGTATTTTTAGTACAGACAGGGTTTTACCATGTTGTCCAGGCTGGTTTTGAACCCCTGACCTCAAGTGATCCGCCCACGTCAGCCTCCCAGAGTGCTAGGATTACAGGCCTGAGCCACTGTGCCCGGCCTAATTCAGATATGTAAAAGAACACTGGTCTAGTAATACTGAAAATATGTTTTGTAATGATGATCTTTTTTTGTTTGAAATGGCAAATACGTTCCTTTTAAATTGTAAATATATTTAGAGCATGTCCAGACTTTGTGTATATTATTCATAATAAAGAAGAAATAGCTTTAATTATCAATTCTTTACTTAAAATCTTACTAAATTTGAAGATAAATATTAATGTGGCATTTCTATAATCTTATCTATCTTTACTACTTCCGTAGTAAAGTTACCGTGCACATTTAAGTCTTGAGTTAACAAGTGCTAAATATAACATTATTGGAGTGCTTAACCACAGTTATGTTGAATGCTGTGTGGTTCTATCATAGAAGAAAGGAGGATAGTACAGTATATTATGGAAGTAACTGTAGGGCAGGCATGGTGGCTCTCGCCTGTAATCCCAGCTCTTTTGGAGCCCAAGGCAGGTGGATCAGATGAGGTCAGGAGTTCGAGACCAGCCTGACCAACATGGTAAAACCCCATCTCTACTAAAAATACAAAAATTAGCCGGGCGTGGTGGCAGGCACCTGTAATCCCAGCTACTCAGGAGGCTGAGGCAGGAGAATCGCTTGAACCCAGGATGGGGAGGTTGCAGTGAGCCGAGCAGAGATCGTGCCACTGCATCCCAGTGTGGGCGACAGAGCGAGACTCCCATCTCAAAAAAAAAGAAAAGAAAGTAATTGTAATGTGTAGTGTGTAATTACATATAATATGTAATTATTTTATAATAGCACCTTGAGCAAAGTATTGCAAAGGCAATTAAAATGTTGTTCACAACTGCAGTTTTAAAGTTACTGAAGTGCCTTTCCTTCATAAAGCCTAACTTTTATGTTAAAGATAATGGAAAAGGTAAATTAATTTTCTTCTGGTTTTGTTTCATTTCCAGGTGGAGGTTTAGCCATTGGAACAGTTCTTCTAATTGGTTAGTACAAAATACATGCTTTGCTCTCCTCTATCATTGTTTTCTGTTGTGCATAATCATTTTATCCAATTCCCATTCCAAAATTATTTAAATCACTAACACGACAGAACTTAAGATAAATTAGAGAGGAATTGACTTAAGTTCTATTTTAAATTCTAATGTTGATCTGAAATTGAAATAAATTAGGCAAATATATCTGAACATGTAGCTCTTATAACTTAAAAATGTTTACAGTGCATTGTGCTCCATTTTTTAAAAAAGACTAAAATTAATGTGAATTGATGTTTTTGGAGAATCTCAGTATTTAAAGTGGGATTATTACAGGGATCAGTTTGGGAAATTGAAATACTAAGTCCATCGTATATATCACATCATTTTGTCATTATCTTTTTATTGAAACACAAGTAACGATTTAGTAAATCATATTTTAGTTCATCTTTAAAGTGACAAGAGTCCTTATTTAAGTGTATAACCATAATTTCCTTCCTTCTTTTTTAGTGTATATAGGTCACAGAATCTTGGAATTGAAATAAAGCTTGTCAGTCATATAATCAAAGCAGCCATATTAATATTTAATTCATGTATCTGTAACATATCTGTTGTTCCTATTTTTGTCCTCTGATATAATACAGAATGAATTTACATAGTTTTTCACATGACACCCTTAAAATATTTGAAAATACTTATTTTTTTATCTCAAATATTCTCCAAACTAAATAGACATCATTCCTTAACCTGGTTTTATATGTTAGGGTTTTCACACACCTCACTGTTCTGATTGTTCTTTTTATGCACCTTCTAGTCTGGCATTCATTGTCTCTTGAACCATGCCCCGACCTAATATAACATTCCAAATGTAATATGACCTGAACTCACCATACTGGGACTATAAAATAAGCATGTTAATCTAGACAAAGTTATTAGTGCCAGGCACCAAAACATGACTTTATATTTATTGACCCCTAAGGTAACAAAAACGTAAGTATTTTGGAAGAAATTGCCCCAAGAGTGAGTAAAATACAAAGTGGTGATGCTTAAAATTTGGCATGTATGTAAGAATTTGTCTAGTAAAGGAAAACGTTATCTAGAACATTTTATTCCTCATCTATGCTGGATAATTGAAGAGTAATAATAGTAGTAGTGAGAGCTGCCTTTTGTTTAACTCTTACTGTTGGTCATGTATTGTGCAAAATGCATTATGTGTTTTTCTTTGTTTTTTTTTTACTTAATACAACAACCTCGTAAGATGCTAAATATACTTCATGTTTTCTACTTCATGTTTTCTCCCTTTTATACATGAGGAAATGAGGCTCACAGGGATGGGTTAGTTTTCCCAGTATTCTGTAGTTAATCTAAGAACCAGGACTTGAATTCTGTGTGACTCCAAAACCCATCTTTTTTGTAACTATGCTCTAAAGTTTTTCACATGTTTTGTTTAATAGTGATAAACAATAAAATAGGAATTGCATCCCTTTTTAGATTATTACAGTTTCAAGTAGTAAAGTAAAACTCACATTTATGGAGGTTTTTTCTTTTGATGAATTTTCAAATTTCTCAACATGAAGGAATCCTTTATAAATTAATGCACAATAAGGATCAAAGTTGCAGCACTATAAAAATCCTTATTTCACATGATCGGCATTTCTCCATTCCAGTCAAAAAATTTTGTCTTTAAAATAGAAATCAATATATAAGGAGTGCTAAAAACATCTTCAGGTGTACAGTATTTGTTAGATCGGTTTATATAGTTGTAGCATATTGCTATTAAAAATGTAATATATTAATTTTCTGAAAGTATACCATTTAATCGTTTTGGCCCTGTGTTCTCTCACCTCAGCCATTAATTTCCTTGTTGGCTCTTGACTGTGAAGTATCTGCCAACTTCTTACCAGTCATTTACTTTCATCAATACAATATAATCTTCTGGAAATTTACCTAGAATTTAGTGCCTGAGTATCCAGACAGTAGACAATTTTTAATAAAAGCTAAGTAAAATATGTCTTATGAGATACTTATGTCACCCATGAGTCATTAAAGTACTGTTTAAGGACTTTGAAGACAGAATTATTCCTAACACTACATGTAGCAGAAAAAAATAACCTGTGATCAAGAAATTCTAGAAATGATTATCTCAGTTACATTTTTAAGAATGTATCTTACGGTAAATAAAGAATGTCTGAAGGTGTTTATTGAGAAAATTATCTACATGTTTGGTATAAATATATAAAATACAAAAACGGTGTGTAAAGAAAATTAAGTTGCTTTTTCAAAACCTCAGCCTCCGTCCCTTGAAATTATAGTGTCCTGGGTATTCCACCCAAATATTTCTATGTAAGTAATATACATGGGAGCATTTCACACTTTGCTTTATCTACTTAATACATCTTAAACCTCAATTTATGTACATTTATATAGATGTACTACTTCATTCTTGTTAACAACTGCATAGGATTTTATTGTATAGATGTGCCATAATTTTTTGTAGTAGTTCTCTACTGAAAAATTTAAATTAATTCCATCTTTTTCTATTATTAACAATGCTATTGTGCATAATCTTGTGTGTAACCTTTGTACACATATGTAAATATTTGTAGAAAAAACTCTATAGACTTGCTTCATTGCGGCATGTTAAATTTAGTTAGCTATTATTAGATTGCTCTCCCAAAAGGTTATACTGTCATATGCTTCAGCCAACAATTATATCGGTTTACCCTAATCTCACCCTTGACAACACTTGTATATTATCAAACGTTTTAATATTTACCACTCCAATTACATTAGATTAGCAGATGAAGTTCTCCACTTTTTTTTTAGAGATGAGTCTTGCTCTGTTTCCCAGGGTGGACTGCAACGGCATGATCGTAGCTCACTGCAGCCTCCAGCTCCTGGGCTTATGTAGTCCTCTCTTCTCAGCCTCCTGAGTAGCTGGGACAGCATTCACACCACCATGCCCTGCTAATTTTTTATTTTTATTTTTATTTTTTGGTAGAGGTAGGGCCTTGCTATATTGCCCAGGCTGTTATTAAACTTCAGGCCTCAAGCAGTCCTCCTGCCTCTGCCCCCCAAAGTGCTGGGATTATTGGTGTGAGCCACTGCATCTGGCCCCAGTTCTCCACTTTTCTTCATTCCCAAGTCTATGTGACTTGTACAATGAATTAAATCCGCTTGAAGATATGGAAGCATAGTTTCAAAATATAAAAATATGAGGATTTTAGTTCAGTGTTTAGCAGCCTAGGGTATTACTATATTGCTCATCACTGAAAGACTTTTTTAATTCCAGAAGTAAAAGAAAATTAAAACATGAATATTATTTGCATTAATAATATTTTACTATGGATTTCCAACTTTTTAACCATTTTCTCATGAAATAGTTTATTCATTTACCAAGGCAGTTTTATGTAGAAGTGTGTACCTGTGCAAGAGTGTGGGCTTTCAGAGTACTGTATTTACAGCTTCAGTAGCAATTCAACTATGGAAACGAGAGCTAATGAGCACTGCCAGAAAAACCTAAAATAAGTCCACTTTAGACCTTCTGAATACAGCAAAATAAATGTATATGAACAGATGAAAGGAAATTCTCTGAGGAGTAAATTGAAGAACTAAGGGACTTCACTGTGTACTTCAAAAATGTAAGATGGTTGTCAATTAATAAAACGAAAAATCAAAGATAGATTTTTCATAAAATATTTAATACTTAAGTACTGGAATAGGCTTTGAGATGTTTTATCTATATTACTTTCTGACAGTCTGTTACATGGGTAAATGTGGAACAGCTTAAAAGTTTCAAAAGTTAATTGATAACGTAAATATTTAGAGTTTACAGAGTCTCTTTAAAGAATATTTGTAAAGATACTGAGCATCAAAAAGGTTCGATAGAAGTTGTCACCTATTAATATTATAGGTGACATTTATCAATGTATTATTTTTAAAATAATCTTTTACATTAATTACATAATTTTAGTTCTAGACCTGGAAGATAAATGATACACTTTTGGACAATGAAACCTATTATCAGTGTATTTTTGTATTAATTTTTTCTGTGTAACAATATTAACACAAATTTTACAGTTTATAAAAACACAGATTTATTTATGTCATAGTTTCTATAAGTCAGGAATCTAGGCACACTTCCACAGAGTCCTCAGCAAGCCTGCAATGTAGGTGTCAGCCAGGGCTGAGTTCTCTTCTGACTTGACAAGGGAACTATCTGCTTTCAAGCTCATGTGGTTGTTCGCAACATTCAGCTCCTTGCTGCATAGGGCATCTCACAAGATGATGTCTTATTCCTTCAAAACTAAGAAGAGAGAATGTCCCTCAGCAAAATGCTATAGGTTTTTGTAACAGAAATGACATCCTTTGCCATAATCTCTTCATTAGAAGCAAGTTCCACATTCTGCTGCAGTCAAGGGGAAGAGATACAAAAAGGCATGAATACCAGGAGACAGGAATCATAGGGGCCACCTTAGAATGTGTTCACCACACTTTTCATAGTTTTAATTCATATTATTTCCTGAAATAGCAAAAACTAAGCAGTCTCAATAGTCCTCTCACAGGATATTACAGTATTTCTTGTCAGTCATCTAAAACCTTTCTGAATTTGCTGAACTATATTTTTCTTCTACATCATGCAATAAATTCTGAGCTAACCAGCCAGAGCAATATGGCAAAACCCTGTTTCTACAAAAAAATATAAATATTTACTGGGTGTGGTGGCATGTACCTGTAGTCCCAGCTACTCAGGAGGCTGAAGTGGGAGGAGTGATTGAGCAAGGGAGGTTGAAGCTGCAGTGATCATGCCACTGGACTCCAGCCTGGGTGATGGAGCAAAATCATGTCTCAAAAAGAAAATAAAAATTCTGAGCTTTTTTCTATGCAGGAATTGGCAAACTACAGCCTGCTAGCTGGTCACCTAGTTTTGTAAATAAAATTATATTAGAATATGGCCGTACTTATTCATGTGCACATTGTCTACAGCTTCTTTTGTGCCACAAGGACAGAAT